AGCTGTTTCCAGGCTGTTTCTGAATTGGCTGAGAAGCGATGAGGTGATAAGCCACAGCTAGAGCTTAAAGGAGGAGAGGCATGACTACATGCTCTATTTGAGAGTGTGTGCTAAAAATGAAAAGCCTGAGCACTTGTTTAGAGGAAGAGACCGACTGACAGCTCTGCATCCTGTTTTCTTTAAGGAAAATATAGTCACTTATTAACAACAGAGTCATGCTCTTGTGTATTGGGTCATCAAAAGCCTAGCTAGCTTACTGCAGTTCTACTATACTGGTTGTGGGGAAGAGAGTTGCATTCAATTTTACTAAGATCTTCTTTTATTTACCCTTGAAAAAATATTTAAACGCATGTATTCTGTGTGGTTACTAGTTAAGTAAAAGCACTGAGGATGTTCAATCTAAGAATTTAAAGCCTCAGAGTAAATGTAGCTGTTCTCTAATTGAGTAGTACGTTGGAATAGATTTGCTGTCATGAAATGAAAACACAATTGCTGTATGGTTGTAGTATTCTCCTTAATTCTTTATTTTTTTAACCTCAGTATCTGTGAGCTGTATGCTCACCTCAGCAAATTGTTCTTCAGCAATAAAATATCTGTTCAGTGTAACAGTATGTCATTGTAATCTGAAAAACTCTGTTGCTCTGTCGTCAAATGAAAGTAATTGTCTGGTTGTTGAGAATAATTTATTTCCTAGAAGAAAATAAATGTGATGGTTAGTGAATTACTGTGCTTGTTACACACAAGCATGAGGGTTTTGAAATTAGAGTGTCTGTTTAGAGTAAAGCTTGACAAATAGTCCCATTACAGTACTGGAACTTTAATGTCCCAAACAGCTTCAGTCCAGTATTAGGATCTTTTCTTTTTCCTGAAGCAGAATAGAGGGAAATGTTGTACATAAATGATGATGTTAATATCTTCTTTGTTTTGTTAATGAGAACAACTCCTTTGAATAGATGTAAATATTTTTCTGAGTTAAAGAGCCTAGACAAGCTCAGTAAGTTTTCCTCCTCCATCCTCTTCACATCTTCTCTTAGATGGATATTTCCTTTGCAATCTTAGCTCTTTTCTTCTGATTGTAGGTAATCAAATACTTTAACTTCTGTAAAGTAGAGCAGGGCTGTGCTTGAGCCCTCTCATGTGGAGGAGTTTGCTGTGTTCATAACAGGATATAGACAGTGTCTTTAGGTCACCTTTTATAAATGTATGTGAAAGTCTCCAGATGATCTTTTTTCTGTAATTTAAAGAGAGAAAGTTGTAATTGCGCTGCAATAGCAAGCTCGTGTCTGAAAGCGAAAGAGGACAGGAAATGGTAAAAAGCAGCATTTTCACTTAACTGTAGAGATTATTTATAGTTGCTGAGTGGAAAAAAATGGTATTTCTGGATGCTTTTTCATACTAAGTGCAAATAAAATCTGACTACGTAGTGTTAACATGGCCTCTGTCTGGTGCTGCTATTAAAAATATGTCTGTGTGCACTACCTGATACTGATCCTGTCCTTTAGTCCTCCTGTTGGCCATCTGTGAGGACCCAGGAGAGATCACGGTCTCCACCATTTGCTCTATAATATGTTCTGGAGCTCTAGCTTGTGATAAAGGGGTTTGATTGTCTTAAGATTTCCGTTTTCAGCTTTCTGATTGACACCTCTTGTCCGTAAGCTTGGAGTTCAAGTAACTGCATGATTTGGAGTTGAGTGGTTAGTTCATTTTACGCATATATTCGTGTATGTGTATTTCTATTCTGGTCCAGGCTTGTAGGGACAATTGCCAGAATTCCAGTTCTAGATCTGTGCTTAGTTTTGTTTTGTTTTGTTTTTGCTTTCCCTAGTAGTATGTGATTTGATTCACTCCCTAGTACAGTCTGTGACTTATTTGCATTGCGTGTCAACAAAAGCTGTGCAAAGAGATGGCTAAAACACTCTTTATTCTTGAATAACTTTTCACATCTTTGACCATATTCCACTGGTGAGTGTTTTGGCAAAAGAATTTGGCATCATTTGCCACAGTAAACTGTTGTGATAGCCATCCAGGAAGACAAAAAGCAAGACACCTCCTCATTTCTAAGTTCTCTTGAATTAAATAGTTTCTTGGAATAGCATTAACTTAAATGGCTTTTATCATAATGTACTAATCTAGTTCTTCAAATTACAGCTCAGTTAGACTACCTGAAAGATGGAGAAATCTTTTTCTTATCAGCACTCTGTATTCTCGGCTTCAAATTTTCAAGTAGTGGAATTTCTCAGGAAAAGGAGGGAAGCTGAAAAAAGGAAAACTTCATAGTGAGAACTACCAAGGCTCCCAGCATATGTGCAGACATCCTGAACTGATTGAGTGCAAACAACAGGACTTCAGCCTGTTTGGAAGTTGGTCAGAGATGGGGGTAGTAGGCATTAAAATTGCAATTTATAGAAAAATAAATAATTAGAGACAGTAACGGTGGGTTTTAGTACACAAATTAGGATTCTTTTTAGCAGTTAGTCTTTGACATGCAGGAATGTGGTTTGAGAGCAAGCTGAAGATGGGATGAGAAACCTGCCACATGGCATCGTAGTTTAAAACAAATCACTCATTTTAAAAACCCTGAAAGAAACCAGTGGTTTTCTTGCTCCTGCTTCCAGTTCTGCATGTAGCTCAGTGCCAGGTTAGAGCGATGGACAGAGCTGGGCCCGTTCCGGGTCTCGGGATGTTTGCTCAGGAGGTGGAGAACGTGAAACAAAGTCCATTTTACGGCTGGTGGCGGGGCGGGGGGTAACAAGAATGTCACTGCACCCAAGGGAGGGGAGGGGTTTGGGGGCGCTTAACCGCTTTAGATGTGCGTCCTGGTGCTCCCCACAGGTAGTAGCAAGAAGTCTTTGTTCGGGTCGAGATTTGTGCCTGGTGAGGAAAGATAGTACAGAAAGGTACAACACAGAATAAAGCGTTTCTTATAGAGGGATGAGACAGGTGGGAAGAGCTAGATTAAAGGAAACACTGGGACTAGATAGGGAGGGAGTGTTTTACAGTGTGATGTGTAGCGTTTTTCATCTCCGCAGTGTTATTGCCAAGATTCTTTCCATTCTGGCAATGTTTCTAGCTTCTATCTTTTTTTTTTTTTTCATTTTTCCCTCAAATCCTAGTTGTCAGCCGAATCAAGATAAAATTTCAATAGATCTTCTTAGAATAATACTTTCATGCAATACGAGAGTATTTCAAATAAATTGTTTTACAATAATATGCAAACAGGTTCTGTTAAACGTGTGTCCAAGGCCTTTGGTGTGCGCCTTGTTTACAGTGCTCAGAGATACGGTCTCCTTCAATCCAGTTTATTATTAACCTGCTCTTGGTTTCTGTGCAGTTGCAATAATTATATGTACTCGGCTATAAAACTTGTGTGTTCTCCTGTTCAAATATTTGCACAATTGGTACTTTCCTAACAGTTTCTTAAATGAAGAAGTTTAAGTTTTATGGAGGAATGTAATGTTTGGCTACCCTCAAGAATAGGGGCTGCTGCAGTATTTGTGACTCAGCTTAAAGATGTGTTCAGTTTTCCATAATTCATTAGAAGGTTAGTGCAATATAGTATAAGGTTTTATAAAAATGCATGTAAAACTGCACTGTTTCACATGGCTTTTGTTATGGGTGATGTAATAGGCCACTGTCCTTGAGCATGTTTTTAAGATCACGCTTTTTATTTTCCTCCTCAAAGGAAAACAAATGCCCTCATCAGTTCCTGCCTAACCATCAGCTTACCGCATTGGTAGTTTTGGATAAGCTAATTTATTTGGCTTCAGTTTTGCATAATTTTGTGACTCTTACTGGTTGGATGGTAATTCGTGTACGTATCTGTGTGTGCAGTAGCCTTTTAAACCCCCCTCCTGCCTCCTCCTCTAGACCAGAAAAAAGTTAATTTGCTGAGCAGGCTTATTTACACAGTTCTCTTGTCTCATTGAAATGTGTCTATAAAAGGTCCTTCTGGGTCACTAAACCAGCCTCTCGCAGCACAAGCAGCTTGTAAAGGGATCCAGGGTGGCCCCCGCCGCCCTTTGAATGGTGCCTTGCTGCGAGCCAGGGCTGCCCGCAGGTCCCAGCCATTTCAGGTCAGGGAAAATGAGGTTTGCCCTGGAAAAAAGACCATTGAAGATGTCAGCATCTCATCTCTGGCCACTACCTGTGTGTTGTTTTTTTTAGTTTGTTTTATTTTTATGCTTGAGTTCTAGCCCAGTCAGAAATACTCATTTCAGTTGTGTAAGAAATTTTGTATATCTATTTTTCGTGGTTAATATATATATATATATAGGATAAGTTTCAGGCTGTGGAGAAATCAACAGCTAGTCTGCTACAATCACGGATATATAAAAATATATATATAGCCAGATAGGCTACTTAAAGCGTAAGTGGCATAAGAGAATTTGCTTTATTGTCCACAGGCATTTGGAAGTTATTTTCTGTGTGGTGTTCTGTGTCTGTCTTGGAGAGGCTCAATTTATTATAGGATGTTGTTAAATCTCCTCCATGGTTTCTGTGCTTTAGCTACAGATGCCGAGAATTTACTTGGTTACAACTTAGCATTTCTTGCACGCTGATTTGCTGGGTTAATTGTTGTTGGAGGGTTTTGTTTTTAAAAGAAGTCACATTAAAGATCCCTGGACAAGGAGCTAGAGAAAATAGTATTTATACTTTTCACAGAAATATCTAAAGAGAGGAAGGTCTCATTCAGCTGTACCCCCTACATTTAGGAGTAAAAAGTCAGATACCCTCTATGCAATTGAACCAGAACAAGAGTGTTATGGTTTGTAGAATGTTTGACATACAGCCACACACTTAATTTTTTCTACTCTTTTTTTTTTTCTTTTTATTTATTTATTTTTGTCTAAGTAGAGCTGCCAAGTGCTGTTTTGCAGAATATATTGACTTAAGTTTATTTAAAAGAATATAGGTTCAGAGGATAGCTAATAGTGTGTATTTTCAGAAGAGAGAAAACTACAGGTTGCTCTTTTGACTAAGGAATGTGTCTTGACTTTCAGGTCTTTAGTAATTATTAGCACTTTGGATGGACGAATTGCTGCACTGGATCCAGAAAATAGTGGGAGAAAACAGTGGGATCTGGATGTGGGATCTGGTTCTCTTGTGTCATCCAGCCTCAGCAAACCAGAGGTAAGACTTAATGTCTTTCTTGATGAAATCTTTGACAATAATAGACTTTTCTGTAATAACCAGAGTGCTCTCTCATCCACCATGATAAATGCCAAATAATACAGCAAACTTAGTGTGGCCAGAGTTTTGTGGCACTCTCAAACTTGTCAGAAGTGTTTACATCATTTTGCCATTCCAAACTAGCGTGTGTCACCATTATAGTTGAGATTGATCTTTGTGACAACTATCAAGCTGGATGATGTAACCAAGATGGGGGGTTGTGTGCAATTACTGATTGGAAACGAGTTCCTTGTGCTTTGAAGCAACCTAAAGATCTGCTTTGTGTTACTAAGGGGTTTTGGCAAGTACTGCCACCTCTCATGGCCCTTCCTTTCTTCCTTCCCCCTCCGAGAGAAGCAAAAGGCCTTGTGACTTTAAAAAAAACAATCTTTTGTTCATTTATTATACTAGATAAGCAGGCTGCCTATGAAATAGTGTTATGTTAGCAACAAAGGAGAGCACTGAAGGTCACCCTGAAATACTGAGTGAAAAAAGGGTTGCATCATTTCTGGCTGATGAGTTGCAAAAAGGAGACCTAAAGAGTTAAATGTCTTTTGAGGGGATATTTCAGCCATCAGTTTGGAGGGAAAAAAAAAAAAGAAAAAGAAAAAAAAAACACCTTAGGCTAGAAAACAGAAATAAGCTGCTTTGCTTTTCTTCTCTCATGAAAGAAGCAAACCAAGAGTCATTCCCTCCTAGAACTAGGAGAGAATGTACCAACTTGGAGGTAGTTTGTGGTGCCAACCTTTGTTGTTGTGGATGACTGGACTTGAGGACCAATCTTGTGTTTCCTGGATTCAGGTTAGTGCTTTGGGATCAGAGAAGGAGAGTTGAATTCGGGATGTTGACACTGAGCATCTTGTGTGTGGTTACTGACTAATTTACATCACCTGCTTTCAGCATAAAGAAGTCTAATGAAAGGTTTTCTTGGTGCTGTAGTGTGTGAATGGTAGTAATAAGTATATGATTGATAATAAAAATAAAGGGAATGTCAGCCTGTGCTTGTTTCTTGGAGAATTTCATCTCAGGTTGCAACTTTCTAAGGCTTGTTCTTTTAAGACGGGATATTTTGGGATTTAACCAAAAAAAAAAAAAAAACTGGGAGAGAAGAACTTTTATAAAAATGTTTTCTACAGCAGAAGTGAAAAGAACATGAAAACTGTAAAGGGCAAAGTGTCCGTTATATTTGTGGATGATCAAAGCTAATTTTCCGTACTAGAAACTCAAAATATTGGTCTGCAATCTGTTGTGCAGGATAGCTTTTCAGGACCACAGTGAAAATCGAACAACTGTTTATATTTGCTGTACACATACTAAGTTTTCAGTTCAGATTTCAAATGATTGCATCTCTTAAACTGTGGGCAAAGGCAGTGATGGATTTTGCTGAAAATGCTTAGGTTTTAACAGTTACGATGCAGAATGTCCAAAATTAGTTCTCTTCTACATAGAGAACTTCATTCTGTTCTTTCAGAAGCCTTTTAGCTTATGAATATAGGTTTTTTTGGTGACTTACTTTCAGGTAAATAAATGCTGTTAGGGTAAGAAAAAATAGGAATGATGAATGCTCCAGGTATGCTACACTAAAATGTTTAAGCTTGCTACATGTTTTAAAACCTAATCTGTTACCAGACTGAACTGGAAGACTTCTTAGAATTGATGCAGAGACTGTTTGAGTGAATACTTATTCTCTCTACGGGTGCTGTGAACAATTGTCAGTTTTGTTCTGGGTCAAAATCTCAGATTCATTAAAGCATCAGAGTCTGTCCCTTCCCTGCTCTGCACTGTATTCTCTCTGATAAGTTCAGTTTTATTCTCAAACTAATCATTGAGGCTTTTTCTTCACCTTTCAGCCTTTTTGAAACAGTGATGCTCTCTGGGCTTGCAGCCACAAACTATTTTGTGTTTGAAGCAGTATGATTAGGTAAGGTGTAAATGTAGAACTTCCTCCAGGAAACAGCAGGTGAGAAACTCCTCTCGTGTTATCCTTGTAGTGTTAGAGATTTGTGTCCTTGCAGAATGAGGAACTTGTAAACCTGTTTTTCTTCTGTTTTCGCGCTCTTGGGTGACAGTGCAATGAGCTCTAGTTCCAGGTCCTGGTGTAAAAGTATCAAATTATTTTTTAAATGCCTTTTAAGAATAGACATTAAGGCTTTAAACATACAGTGTTTAAAAGAACTGTAGTTACTTCCTAAATTTAGCTTCACCTCTGCCTAGCTGTAAAATGTCAGCTAGGCTGTCTTGAGCTCATGTGTTAATTAGGAAAGTGAGGTAGTAAAATTTCAAATGTTCCAGCAGCTCTGTCAAACACTTCAGATCTTGAAACTACTGCTGAAGACACTGACAAGTGAGATGTTCATCATTTGTCATATGAACAGATCAATTAAAATAGAAAGTGTGTTAAACTGCTAATTGTTTATCTGGGTAACTGAGATGATAAAATTCACTCTTTGGCTCTGAGCTCCAGCCTCTATAGTCACGGTCAGGATGCTGGTGCTTAAAAACTTGTACTCTGTGTTTCAGCCTTGTGCATCAGAACTTTGGTTTCACCTCTACTATGTGTTTAAAAAAATTCCCTTCAAGAAGTTACAACTCCAAAATTCCTCATTAGCAAGCAAAGAGTAAAGTTCAGGGTAAAGTCATTGAATCTCAAATTTTCCAAAAGGGAACTTACTTTTAACAAAACCACTTCCATTTACTCTTTAAAATTTAACTTTGTAATGAATACACCATCTGCACTTAGATGGGAATACATTTGAGGGAATCAGCCTGTGGGAATAATGACTGTTCATCGTGTGGAAGTAAAGGCTGTGTCTGATGTGATAGATGGTAGACAAAAGAAAGCTATATAATAAAATACTGTGTTTCTGTCTGTCTTATGAGACACAAAATGTGGGGTGACCTGTAAATCGAAGTGACTGGTCACTAGAGGATAGCATGAGCGATGGGACGCTGGAGAAGGGTGGTAGATGATGGAGACAGAAAAAGACCCACTACAGGATGGGTAAGCTGTAAGGATGCTGCCGTGAAAAAGCTAGTAGCTGAGGTGGATGAGAAATAGGAAAACAAGGGGCACACCTCATGGTGATGATGTGAGAGTAACAGCTTGAAAATAAGTTTGTGACTGTGACACTAAGAGCTGTCAGGAACAGTGCAGGGAGCTGGGATAGGGTGGCTCAAATCATGATTTCAGTAGTCGGGATAGAGACGTCTTGAATCTGCTGGATAAAAGTAACTGCATTTGCTCCCAAATGGGTATTAAAGAGTAATCCCTAAGAATCCCATTTCTTAATTTGGGAGATTTGCGATCACGTGACAAAATGAGTTTGAATCTTTGGGGCTGGCAGAGCAGTCACAGTAAACAATTTTTGGAGCTGCAATGGTATGAAATAATCGTGGTGTGGTGTTACAGAATCTGTTAATCAACATCCTTATTTTTCTAAAGGTTCTCAATACCTTGAGACTTGTGCTTTGCATTAAATATTGTAGTCTTGCCATTTTTTAGCACTATAGCCATGCAAAATAAACTTTTTCTTTTAATTTAGACATTTATCTGCTTGTGCCTTTTTTTTTTCCTCCTGTTTAAAAATGGCTGATTTTTGTGAGACAATTTAGGATTAGTATTTTTTTCCTCCAGAGAAATGTGGAATTGCAGAGAAGTTGAACATGTTGAGGCAAGCTGGAAATTAATTGCGCTGTAGACGGACTGGACCACTGGGTATCTTTGGTTTATTCCTGTTTTGCCCTTTGGAGAGGACAGGCTGCTGCTTATAGCAGTACGTAAGTTAGGAAGGGATTTGCAAGTCTCTAAATCTCCATCACAAAAGGATTTAGTATACAGTATAAATTCCTCTTTCTTGCTTTGTGCTGCAAGCATTTTAAAATTCTCAATCCTTTGATATTCCCCAAAAGAAAAGAAACATGAAGCTCTGCTGTGAAACGTCCTGCCACAGCGATAGCCTGCGATGCGGGTGAGGTGCTGACTGCCCAGCACAGCCCTGAAAGGCTGGTTGTGCTTCCAAGAAAGCAGTTTCCATGTCCTGTCAAGGGCAGAGAAGGACCAAAGGACCCATCCTGGGCCGCTTTGTGAACGCAGCAAGAAATTCAGCAACTCCTGTCCTCTGGCCTCTTGCTCCTCAGCGCAGGAGAAATTACAAAGCTGGAGCAGTTTGCAGCAAGACGAGAGGTCAAAACGCCCTCTAGAGATGTGGACTTGTGATTTCTAGTTTTTCTTTAATGTGCACTGCCTGAGGTTAGGGGAGGGTAAGTATTTTAGCTCTCTCTTTGAGAGAGAAATCTTATGACATCAGTTTTGAGGAAAATCATACCCCCCTCCTAGGGCACGCTGCAGAAGTATTCTATTAATTTTATTAGCCTGAATAAAAATTATGTTCCTGATTAATCCTTTGTATTCTGCTTCAAGATTTCTCTCCTCATCCCCCAAAAAGCATCTGTCTGACTCAGATTAATGTTACCTTTTAATGTAAACATGTGATGTGGTATACACATCAGCACCAGAAACGGCGTTTTCTGTCTAGCGCTCGGAGGAGTCTTTGGGCACCATCATGGGCTTCACGTAGGAGCAAATGCTGTGCGGTGGCATCAGGCTTCACATAGAAACTCAGAAGCTGGTTCTCTGATGCTTTAGAGTGTATATGCGTCTGTGTGAAGCATAACTTTACTCCAGAAAATGAAGTATAAAAAATTGAAAATTCCTATTAATGCCATAAAAATTATTTTCCATATGTCGTAATTGACCCCAAACTGTCCTCCTTTCTTGTGGTAAACAGAGTAAATCTGGACCAAGGTTACCAGTCTGAGGAAAATCTGTTTCCTTGCAGATAAAGTGGTATAACTGTTACCTGTTACAGATGTAAACGTGAGTTAGATATAGCTGAATGACCCAGAGATCTGGGGACTGATAACTGCGCTTGCGCGGATGGTTGGAGGTGTGTGGTTTAAAA